TAAAAATAACTGTAACTTTTATTTACTGTATCATATAAAAATATGGGGTTTCCTGGGGTAACCCATACTAGTTCGGTTAGGTTAATTGCAACAAAGTTGCATTGATATGTTTTAAAAATGTTTTATTATCATTAAATGTTTATAAGTAAATCCCAATAGCAGAACAATAAATATTAAGAGATTTCTAATAATTTTGGCCATTGTAGCGGCTAATGTAGCGCGCTACATTTTACTGTAGCGGTAGCGCCCGTTACAATCTAGTGGATGTAGCGGTAGCGGTAGCGCCCGCTACATTTAGAGCATGTAGCGGTAGCGGTAGCGGCGTTACATTTCAAAGTAGCGCTGCCCAGCTCTGATAATATGCTACGCGGCCGTGTGGCTGAGAACAGCAAAATTTTAGCACTGAATTATGGTTTTAACATCACAGTAAGCATTAAACATTCTGCTATGTAGAGAATTAGCAATGAGCAAGATATGGCCTCGTCAATGCTAACAATAATGTTAGTGGAAATTCTTTATAATTGGAATGGACATGATTATAAGCATTTTGATATGCTGGAATTCAGGAGTATTTGTTCATAAAGAGACCATAGTAATGACATGTAATGCATTAGCGACTTGCCGGCGCCTTATGTTAATTCTTCACAAAGTTTTTATGTTAGGAACGTTATGAATTATGACATTTAATATGAAATACGAGCAAGAAATCAGCTTCCAAGTATGGATACTGATCACGTAGTAATTATGAACATGGAATCGCACAATAATGCCCTATACATAATACCCATGGTTGAACTATGTAAGGTCGACCCACGAGAAGTTCCGTCTTTCAGTTCAGCTTTCTAGTTACGTCACGTAGATCGAGAAACGTAAATAAACCCGTCATTCCCATGACGGATTGGTTGACTGGTTTGATCGCATTTCGGTAATTTGTTAATAACGTGACGTCACTGAGATCAGTGACGTCACAGGCGAACAACAAGCTCCATCCGCGAAAATGAGATTCTAATGGGTCAACTTTATACTAGTTCAACCATGCATAATACCTATGTTAAATCTTTGATATTCACTCAGAAGCTGCTCCGTTTCATATAAAAATCCGGCATCTCTATACTTTCCGCGCCGTATGGCAGATGTATTTTTTGCCGCATGCTGAAGTTGAAGACTTGAAGTCACCGTCAAAATTCATAGCGGAACTGCGGTCGACTACGGACGCTGGGTAACTTGCTCTGCGATTTCATTGTATTACCTTAATTTGACTGTGCTAGTCAAATAATCTCATTCTGATTATCTGTTATATAGATATTTTGTGAGCAGGAGACACAGAAAGAGTTTTCATCTGTTAAAATGGCGTAAGGGGGAGGGTGGCATCATCATGTCTGAGTTAGACGAAGACGCGGACTCTTCCCCCTTTGCCAGCCTCAGCCCTCAAGATTACTTAATAAAAAACCATCAAATGAAGCAGTTAGCCAATCAGTAACTGTGATTGAAGAGTCCAGTAGTGCCAATAGTACGAACTGCATACCTGTAACCCCTAAATCATCACCATTGATAGATTATTAAACCTCTCCGGCTTCCTCTTTTAGGAGGGCCAAACTGCCCAGAGTCCAGAGATGCTAAGAAAAGTAACTTCGAGGCAATCGAGGGTTTTGCCTGCTCCAACAGTACCAGTGGGCTCTTGTTGGAATCAGATATGTCTGAGGATGAGAGCTGGCTAACCAGCCTAACCTCAGCTCAAGCACAACAACAATCTGTCACAGTGCCATCAGATAATGCTAGAGGCATGGCATAAGCCAACCCAACCAGGAAATTGAACCTACTTAACAACTCTCTGGATAGTCATTGTTATTGAACCAATTGCTGACCTCTGTCTGGTTGAAAAATTATTTTCTAATGATTTGACCCTGAGTAAGGCTTTGGCGGGCCCACTATCTGTTTGGCAAAACAGGAATTGCTATGGTAAGCAAGAGCCTTAGCCACAAATTTTTATTTATAACCCTTGAGAAAGAACCTGGTGCTGGTTTCAGGATGGCCTCTCTTCCAAAAGTTGACCTGACTTGACCAATTTGCTTCATGGAAAATTAGGTGCCATCTCCAGGCTCCCTGCCTACTTTACATTTTACAAAATCAGTTGGAGTAATAGGATGATTAGGTGATGATGTTTCAAACAATGACCTTTCTGAGGTTTTAGTATTAGCTGGCCATAATGACGCCACTGCTGAAGGAATATTGACAGGTAAGAATAAAGAAACAACCTCAATGTTTAAGGTTACTTTCAATTTGAGCACTCTACCAACCTTTATTCATCTAGGATACCAATGGTTTCAGGTGAATTCCTATTTTGATAAGCCTTGGCAATGCTTTAAATGCCAATATTTTGGTCACAGCGCAATCAGCTGCAAGAATAAACCATGCTGTGTTGTCTGTGGTGGTCCCCAGTCTCCCCACAGTGTAAAGGATTGTACTGTGCAAGTCAATCCATATTCAATATTGCTGCAACTGTGGTGGTCAACATACAGCTAGCTATAGAGGTTGTAGATTTGTGAAGGAGGCCGAGGCTGCGGCCTCCTTCTATGCTAACTTCTTCCTAAGTTAGCACGAATGCTAACTTAGTTTGCATTCAACATTAACCTTTGACCTGATGTGTTATGGTACGCGCTGTGCACACACCTGTTTCTTAACAACTTTAACGTTTTGCCTGAAGGATTGTGGTACACGTTGTGCACACACCTAGTTTGTGTCTAACTTTAACTTATGTCCCGACTTAGTTGTGGTAGTTATGTACATGATCAATTATTAACCATCTTTAACACTTGTCCTGTTGTGGATGATCAGGTCTGGTGGAGCTGAGCCTAGGAGGGTTCAGCGAGGGCGTGTCTGACAGCAGTTGGCATGTTTCCCTGTCGCGGTTAACCCAACTACGGAAATTGGCGCTTACAGACTGTGCCCTGGGGCCACGGCTCCTGGTGCTGCTTAAGAAGTTCTCTGCTCTACAGAAAGTGGTTCTCAAGCCGCTGTCGCAGCACCCAACATAGAGAGCCAGAGAGGCTCCTCAGGCTGGAGGGGGGCTCTCTCTGCTTATCAGGAGTGATGTTACCTACTTGGAACATGACTTCAACCCTTTCCACAGGGCCTTCTGGAAGTTTGTGGGATCAAAATACTCCTGAAAATAACAATGTGCCAGTATCAGTACTAAATCTCTATAACCCTAATAAAAATGTCACCTATCAAGAGTTTGATTTCTATTTCTCACAGTTAGAGCCCTCATGCCTCATCATGGGTGATTTCAATGCCCATAGTCCAGTTTGGGAGCCAGGCAAAATCTCAAGCCAGAGTGGAAGGAACTTAGAAAATATCTTACTAAACAACAGCAGACTAGCTCTTCTGACCACACCATCATTACCCACTTTTTTCAGTGTTTACCATAACTCTTTTTCTACCCTTGACCTTACAATAATCTCAATAAATCTTTTACCATTAGCATCTGTGCACATGGAGAGTGACATGGGAAGCGATCACTACCCAGTTGTAAGCTGTGTTGGAGTGGAGGCCTCTGCAGTCCAGTACAAAAGGGGACAATCCTGGAAATTCAAATCAGGTTCATGGAGTGCATGGTTAGCTGCTCTACCTCAGAAAGATCCAACACTATTGCCAAACATTGAGATTAGCAACACCAATTTTACAGATAATAACGTGTCAGCCAGCATTCAAGTTTTTCCCAGGACCAAGGAAACTATTACTCCAAAGTACAGCAAGTCATAGTGGACACAAAGCTGTGCTCAAGCTGTTGAAGCCAAGAAAACTGCTAGGAGAGTTCTGATTTCACAGCCTTCACCTGTTAACCTGATTGCATACAAGCGATGTGAGGCCAGGGTTAAATGGGAGGTAAAGCAAGGAAAGCAGAATTCATGTAGGTAATACTGCATTACCATCACTTCAAACACCCCCATTTCCCAACTATGGAAGAAAGTCAAACGTCTTCAAACACCATTTGTCCAAAGGTCACAACCTTTCATTCAACAAGACTCAATTGTTACAGATTCACTTAGAAAAGCCCAAGTTCTTTCTCTCCACTATAAAAATATATACATGTCCAGCCCCATCTCCCTACTATTCACACATCCTCCTTCCCATAGCCCCAAAACCTCATCTAAACCTCATTCTGCCTTAAAATTTTGACTTATAAAATGATTTTATTCATTTTTTGATAGTCAAACTGATGATGGAGCTGGACTCATAAATGTTTTCAATATCAATATGGTGAATTTGCTTTGCGTTTTCTTTGCTTTTAAATTCATTTCATCTTTGTTCACTCTGCAGAAACCAGAGGAGGGAGTTTTGCTCAAACTTGGAAAATCATTCACTTCCTTATAGCCTTGCATCAGCTCATGGTGGGGTAGATATCACTCAAAAAATATGCACAGTGGTAATTTGTTGGCTGGGACTATACCTGCTTAACTGCAGCATGGTGAATATTTATTTAATATTACTCTTTCTCTGATTATCATATAATGTGCCTCCAGGTATAAGGAGTGGGTTTCTACATTAGTGGCTATTGGCATGAGCCATCATCTTGCTTCTCCTCTCACCATCATCTTGCTGCAGGGTTGCCAGTCAAAGTGTAGTGGCTTTTATTAGTCTTTGCCTGCGCTTATGTTGGGTTTGTTCTTATCATATCTTTTTGACATGGCTTATAGCCTTATTCTCCTGTCACATGTGCCTGCTGCTACCTGCATTTAGGGGTTTAAAATGTAATAAAAAACTTCCAGTTTGTTTGTGTTTAATATGATTTTTCATCAGCTGGTATCAAGTATGCATGCCTTTTGCATTGCTTGCATGTCCGTTCTGGTTTTGCTTTGTGTTCTTTCTGGCAGAGGCAATTGCCCAAGAGCCCAGAAATAGTTCAGAACTCCATAATAGGAGTGATGGTAGCTTATCCTACTTGAACTGATTGTCTAACTTCCTTGCATCGTCCTTGTGAATACCGCTGCAAGATAGATGAATTATATTAACTTGATTAACTTTAGATAAGTGAGTTTTTAAGATGTGACGCACGTCTGAATTCAGTTCCAACCTAACACAAATAATATTAAATATTAATAATTAATTGGAAAAATGCCAATGAACTTTGAAAATTTTGATGTGCGGGACTGCACAATCATAACCAAAGCTGTGAAGTCAAGAAATGCTGAGAATGTGGAGGTGAGTAAAAATGTGTTTTACACTGTTTTTCAGTGTTATCCTAATCTTGTATTTCTTGGAAAATGTTTTTATATAAATTCAAATGTTTTTTTTAATTAAAGTAGCTTTTTGAGTGAAAAAATCTACTTCTACTACTTATTGAAAATTATTTTTAAGCAATATGAAATGTTTTTATATAATTTGTAAAGTTTCCTTGTAAAAAGAGTTTTACAAGGAAACTTGAATTTAAACCAAATAAGGCTATGAATATTCATTGTATGACCATTGATTAGGTAGAGCTATCAGAAATAGGAATTTTGATCCATTATTTTCTGCTGACTTCTGGAAGAAAAGTTTAGTTTCTGATATTCCAACTCAATATATGTGTACCTGTTCCTACTATAATACCCTTGGAAAAAAAATCTCCAACTACTACTGGTAAGAATTTTGCCAAGGTTGTTCAGTAAGGCCTTGTAGGTTGAAATATTGGCATCATTCAAGCTTTCAAGCATGCCATCACAACCTTAAATTGGCACATTTGTGTAGTTTTAGGTCTGATCACAATTAACTGATTGTGCCATTAAGATTGGTGTCCCTGTTCTGCATTGATTGGTAACCGAGGTGTAATTTTAGAAATGAAGGACCACGTAGCTACACAAGATGCCCCATTGCCTGCAGCACACTGCAGAAAGACAAGAACAGCAGAGGAGTGGAGGGAGTTTAAAAATTGTAATTTTCACTGATTTGACACTGACACTGTGTGGTGGTGGTGGTGGATACATGTGATTTGTTTCTGATTAGAAAATAAATTTGACTTAAATGAATATTAAAAATTCAAGTATTAATCAAAATTAGACAAAAGTAAGTAACATCAAAGGGGTAATAAGGAATGGGCAAGGTAAATAGGGACAGTCCTCCAACATTTCATAGAACTGTACTAGCAACTAAACTAATTGAAATATTGCAAAACTGAAAATTGTGGTGTAAAGTTCAACTTTTTTCCTATCTATATAGCACAAAGCAAGTTCAGAAATCATACATTTACTACCTCCAAAAAATCCCTGAAAAGAAGTCTGACAAGTGAGATTTTGGTAGAGTACCACTGCTAAGGCCTGTAGCAAAAAAATATTTGCCTTATTAAAAAATTTTACTTGCATAACAGGTGCACACAGGTGTTGGCTTAAAAATCTGACTGACGGAATTTGCATAGCTCATCCCCCCAGATAATGGCGGCCATTTCCACAAGACGGGGTAATGAGGGAACCCCCTATAAATGTGTTTACTGTACAACCTAAGTTATTAAGGGTTCCAGTCAACAAAAATAATCAATTAACAACAAAAAATTTTGATAACATTGACCTCGCTCAGCAAAAAAAGTTCACTTAACAAAAAATTAATGCATCATAAGTCATCAAAAAATTGTGCATAGAATGTCATTAGTAGATTGTGCACTGGGCAACATCGAATGACAAGTAATTAACCTAAACTATGATTTATTTTTCCAAAAAATGAGATAGTTGTCACAAAAATATTCCATTCTATTTCAGGCACGGTATGTTTTTTACCACCTTTTTTTTTGTTTTAGTGAATTCACTTGACATAGTTAAAATGGTGCAAAATTAAAAGCCATCCTGCAACCTTACATAAAGAGGAGAAATGCTATAAGGATGATGAAATGAAGCTTGCAGTGGACAAGGTCATAGTAAATGCTTAATGGCATGTTCATGGATACAGTAATATCAGATCAATAATATGGTAATGTATGGATAATATAATATCATATCAATAAAGGAAAAACAAGTAAAAATCACAGAAAATGTCATTTATTCTGCATCTACATCATCTGCAAAGGAAAAGGAGGGCTTCAGATTACTGTTAGTAATATATGAGTACACTCTGCATGCTTCAAACGTTTTAAATTAAGTTTTATTTTCAGTCTCACGGATTACCCCGTTCCCAGGGACAATTCGGGATGCTTTTACTTTGGGTCTGGCTCCTTACATAACATAACATAGTGATGTTGGCGCTGAAGTGTAGGCCTGATGTGGCCTGTCACCGATTCTTTTCCTTTTCGTGCCTTGTTCATAGATCTAAACTCATGTCATTTGACCGGATCTTTTCATGACTGATGATAGTTTGAAGTAGCTACTAGACTTCCACCGGGTTTGATAAGGAGCTAGGCATTTCAAATCTGAACATATATTTTTTTTATTTTTAAGAATAACATATGGAATTACAAATACAAATATGGAATAGCATATGGAATTTTTTTGAAGATGCCATATGATAGCCCTTGCAAAGAGCTATAAAATGAGCCCAAACTTGTTTATGAAATGTTACATGGTAAGAAGTTATTAACAAAAATTGCTCAAAACTGTCCCTTATTACCCCATATGATGGTACTCCCTATCACTAGTTACTAAACACTATGCAAACCACAATACCCACAAACGGGGTAATAAGGGACGGTTTTGAGCGGGGTAATAAGGGACGGTTTTGAGCAGGGTAATTAGGGACGGTTTTGAGCGGGGTAATAAGGTACAGTTTTAATAACTTCTTACCACAATACATTTCATAAACAAGTTTAGGCTCATTTTATAGCTCTTTGCGAGGGCTATTGAATGGCATACCTATACAAAAAAATTCCATGTGCTATTTGTAAGGTGTCAGATGCAAAATAAAACCGTCCTGAATTACGCCTGGGAACAGGGTAATCCGGGACACTTGAAATGAAACTCAATTTTAAAATTTTTGAAGCATGCAGAGTGTACTCATCCATTACTAATAGTACTCTGAAGCCCTCCTCTTACATTGTAGATGAAGTAGATGTAGAATAAATGACATTTTCTGTGTTTGTTACTTGTTTTTCCTTTATTGATATGATATCACCATATTCATTCATTACCATATTATTGATGTGATATTACCATATCCATAAACATGCCATTGAGCATTTACAACAACCTTGCCCACAACAAGCTTCATATCAGCAGCCATATACATATAGCATTTCTTCTGTAGGTAAGCTTACAGGACGGCTTGTAATTTCACACCATTTTAATTGGGTTAAGTGGGTTAAGTGAATTCACTATAAAAAAGATTGAAAAAAAAAACATTCTTGAAACAGAAAGGAATGTTTTAGAAACAACCATCATATGTTTTAGAGAAATAAATCATAGTTTAGGTTAATTACTTTTCATTCTAGGATGCCCTGTGCAAAATTTTATCTAGGACATTCTGTGCACAATTTTGTGATGACCGATGATGCATTAATTTTTTGATAAGGGAATTTTTTTTGTGCTGAGTGAGGTTAATGTAATCGAAATTTGTTGTTGTTAATCGATTTTTTTGTTAACTGAAGCTGTTGCTAACTGAGGTTAAACGGTAGATGCGTTTTTTAGAGGTGTCCCTTATTACCCCGGGGGGGTGTCCTTTATTACCCCATTGTGCAGAAATGGCTGCCATTTTTTTGGAATTAGATAGGCAAGTGCCATCAATTGCGTTTTCAAGCTGACACCTACGTGCAACTTTTAAGTAAGTAAAATTTTTTAATATGGTAAATAATTTTTTGCTCCTGACCTTAGTAGAGGTACTTTTCCAAAATTGCATTTTTCACACTTTTTTTCATTGATTTTTTAGAGATAGTATATGTATGATTTCTTAACTAGCTTTATACATAATAGATGGTAAAAATGTTGAAGTTTACGCCACTATTTTTAATTTTGCAATATTTTGATTGGTTTAGGTGCTACAACATTTCTACAAAATGTGTGACGTGCGTCCCAATTTAACCTGCCTGTCCCTTATTACCCCGTTTGATGGTACTCAATAGTCCAGCACTATATGCAACAGTCTCTATCTACCAGCATTTATCGGCATGTCAGTTCTATCTTAAAATCCTATTAAATCTTAAATTTTATTGTAACTTTACTTACACCATTATTAGACTAATTCAGCCACCACTGCTTAATCCAAGTGGGTATGAAGTTAACCTCCCTGCAGTTGACTTGGGAACAGTATTTCCCCCAAAGTTTTTTTTTATCCACCCTAATAATCATCTCTTAAACTTCTAGCATTTCATCAGCCATCTTGATTTAGAAGTGACATCCATGTAGAGTTACTGGTTAAATAATGAAACATTGATTATCATCTAATTTACTTGCATCAATTGTAATTCACTACAATCTGTATCATTCATTCACTGTCAGCCATATTGACTTGAATTGTTCTCTTGTAGAAGAATAATTGAAGTTATCTACCCTCCACCACAATCACGCCTGTGTCATTAGGGTGATTAATTGGTAACCTTGTCCTGTATTGCCTTACTTCAGCGACTGCTAAGCCAAATGCTATTACATTGTACCATAGTTATAAAGCAAAGCAAGTGGTAGTGTTTTTACCAACATTTTGCAGAAAACCAATGAGAAAACACTTAAAATTGGGTCATTTACTTGGGTAATTTATGTGGTGTTTACACCAGGGTTGGTGATTTGTTTGATTTTTCTATAAAAAATAAAATAATAAAAAATCAATGATTTTTTCATGATTTTTTTTATTTTTTCAGCTTTTTTGTCTTTTTGAAGTGTTATTTTTATGTTGCAATTAGCCTACAAACAATAACAGTATATGGATCATAATGGATGGCTAAAAAAGGCACTTATTGCCTTCAATAATGGCCAACAGGCCAAGGTGGTGTTTACCACTTAGGTATTTTTGGGTAAACAATTATTGATAAGTCTATTCATTAGCTTTGTAAAGTTTGTATGGAGCAAGGTAATGAGCTAAATATTGACCATTTAACTGGCTTCAATATACAAAAACACTTCAGGAATGCAGATCTTCTATTTCAGACCAATAAACCAATACTAAACATAAACTGAACGATAACCAAACAATTCTCAAACGACTTGAAACTTGACTTAAGTTATGAGAAAAGCTAACACGGTTTGAAATAAACATGTGCACAATTCAAATATTTTATATCCATTCACTGCATTTATTTATTTTATATAGTCTTATAATTGTAATTGTTTTGTTTCTAGTTTTAAATTCACATATTTAAAGATTGAAATTAAATATTTTAATTAGAATACTCGTATTAGGGTGGAAAATCTTTCTAATTGCCTTAAAGGTCAATACAATCTCAACCTCTCAATATACAGGGTGGGGATTAAGGGTGGGGAACCCGATGGATGATTAAGGGTGGGGAACCTCCCCAGGGTGGAGAACCGATTGAGCAGTTTTGAGGTAAAATAAAAGAGTAATGGAGGTACATAAAGAAGAAAGTTTATTTCCCTAGAGGTTAGCATAACATACCATTTAGAATACTTATGCTTTGAAAAAAATATCTGGAAGATGGGGGCCGTTAGCTGCAACACACTGTTGGAGTCGTTCTCAGAGGAGGGAGTAACCGTAACAGTGAATTCCGATCACTATGCTGCAATGTTGCAAAATTTCTTGCAGCCCAGGATGGAAAACATTGTTGAAAATGAAGCATTGGGAGACGGTGGTTCCAGCAGGATGGGGCTACAGCTCACACAGCCCGAATGTCACTCAATGTTTTGAAACACATGGTCCCAGACTCTGAGGGGTGATTTACAGTGGCCTGCGGGGTCACCTGATTTGAGCATTTGCGATTTCTGTCTTTTGGGACATCTAAAAGAATGGGTGTTCAGAAGTCGCCGTCACACCCTACCACAGCTAAGGGAACGGAATATTGTAGCAGAGGTTATGGCCATACCTCGCCATATGTGTGAACATGCTGTAGACTAGAAAACTTCCGAGAATGACTCCAACAGGGTGATGCAGCTAACAAACCCCATCTTCCTGATATTGTTTTCAAAACATAAGTATTTTAAATGGTATGTTATGCTAATCTTGAGGAAAATAACTTTCTTCTTTATGTACCTCCATTACTCTTCTATTTCACCTCAAAACTGTTCAATCAGTTCTGCCCCACCCTGTATAAGCTAGCTAACACATTTAAATTGTATATTGTAATCAATATATAACAAATAGTCAAATAGTTAGTCAAAGACTACTTATAGCCTTATAAGAATTAGCTAAGCTGCAAGCTACGTACAATGTTTGCACACTTGATGCCTCTGTACCAAAAACATTCAATTTATTGGTACCTGATACACACTAAAGGCAACAAGTTTATATACCAATTTGTTATTCATAGAACATTTATACTAAACCATGAATAACAATACCTCAATATAAATTAAAGACTGCCACTCAATATATTTAAATATATAAAAATATCAAAAAAATCGAAAAAATTGAAAAAATAAAAAAATCATGATTTTTTTATAAAAAAATCAAGTGATTTAATCACATAATTTAATCATTTGATGTAATCATTGCCAACCCTGGTTTACACTATCTCCAAAAATTGACTACCAACATGATTTAAAGAGATTTGCCTTTATTCCAATTGCCTTAAAAAAGCAGTGGAGGCTAAAATTCAAATGGTGTGAGAAAATAGAGTTAATATCTTTTTTTAGACAGATGACTGTCAGTGTAGTTGATATCCATGATAGTGAAGCATTTGCTGAATCCTGCTTCTTTTGCCAAGCTATTTGCTAATAATCTTCAATGTTACATGTTAATATGCAAGTTCCATTAAATTACACATTAACCACTATCATGTTATCCATTTTCTACATCAATTTCATAGCATTGCTGTACCCATCAATTATTTGGCATTTGCCATATTGATCACAGATTGCCTTCTATGGAGAAGTGTAATTGATGACTCTGCTGTCCACCTTGCCTCTTCAAGCAAACAGATTTGAGGGCTTGCCTTGCTGATTCTAGGAAAATAGTGAACAACATTTATTGCTGTAAAATGCCTGTACATAAAATTGAACTATGATTTTAATTTTTATTTCAAATAATTGTTTTTTATTTCAAGAAATTCTCACATTGTATTTGAAAAACTGAAATACTTTGTTTGATTCTATTGCTATGATTTTGATTTTTTGATTATGTATCAAGTACAGGAAAAGAGTACAATCAGTACATGCTGCACCTTCCTCCATTTTTGTGTATGATGAATTATAATATAATTCATACTTACTAGCTGAAATAAATTATTTTGTACATAGGTATTCATTTTTACAAAGTTATCAGCATTTGAGAAGTTCATCTGTGAGAACAATGAGGAATATATTTGTCCTTTGTACAGCCTTAACAGAAGCAGGTGTAAGTAAGATAATTAGACATGTCTGCTCAACTTGTCATAGCATGTTAACCAGGACCAAGTGACTAACCTTTGGTCTGGTTAAGCCAGTATAGCAGATAATTAGACATGACAGGTTACATCTGATGCTCATTTATACAAAAGACCTCCAGATTAAGGTCAAGTGAGCCACACACCAGTCTACTCTATAGATGTTTATGAGTTTGTGTGTTGGAAACTTTCTGCTGAACTGTATAGGGATTACATGAGCATGTATCTACAATACCTATTGTGTATCTACAGGTACCTATCATGTATCTACAGGTACCGGTACCTATCATGTATCTACAGGTACCGGTACCTATCATGTATCTACAATACCTATCATGTCAAGACATTTACAAGCAGGGTTACACTGGGTAGCTGCCCACCACCCACTCGGGCAGGATTTTCAACTTAAAAAACCCAGTTTTTTTAATAAAGCCATGGAGTAAAAAGTGTTTTTTGAAGAAAACTTAGGAATGCATCAAATTGATTTTTTTCTTTTTGAACTTCAGAGTGTAATAATACTGGACATGTATTGATTCAAAGTGTAATAATACTGGATATATATATATCTATCTAAACCACCAAGGAAATATCTATTAGGCTTCTTTAATAAATACAGTCATCCCATATGAGTACCATACCTAGTGCAACCCATAAAAAACAAATTGATTAGGGTTCTAAAACATAACAATAACAAATTTTGTTAACATCTTTACTAGGGAAATATACCTTGCAGAGGTTTTTTAACTATTCAATGTCAGCCCTACCTAACTATTGGTGACAGTGGTGAATAGAAGAAAAATAATAAAAAAGTATTTATTTAATGATATTTACATACACTATGCTTAGACTATCTATAACTCATTGTTTGATATTTTTTGTGGTATCCAACTCCATAAAACAAGTTCTGAAAAAAGTTGGAATCAACTAGCAAAATAATCCTATTAATTTTTGAGCATTTAACAAAATCTCACTGTTGATCTTGGTCATCTTATCTTGTTTCTGTCATGAAGTTTATGTAGGAAGCCTCAACATCCAGTTTATCTTGATTGTTGTGACTAAACTTGTTTTTGCTACTAAAGAGTGCCTATGCGTTATCAATATTCTGTGTGGGATGGTTTAAATAACCTGTTCTTCCATAATCCATAGACTTTGACTACTGGACTTCATCAAGCTTAGAGGTGAATTTGCATCCTTGTATGAGGTTTATTTGGTCATTGGTGCTCTGCCTATGGTGTGTGATCCAGACTAAAAAGTGTGACTACTTCAGACCATAGGTCTGCCAAGAACAATTGTTTTATATCAACTTATGATATTTTCATTGTATTTTCAAAATGTGAAACTTATGATATTTTCAAAAGTGAAAGTGTTTTCCCTCTTTCATTCTTTTCTGAATATGACTTCTTCAGATTATATTCAATGATAGTTTAGTCATCAAGTTACAAGGTGGCTACAGTCTTGCTTACTGTGCTAGCTTTCCAGGAACTGTTACATGTTTTGAGACCATGTTGAACAGAAAAATACATTGATCTTTGTGAAATTGGATTAATAATGTATGGATTGAATGAAAAACTAGTTATTATAGCTTCTGACAACACTCATAATTTTTTGTTGCAGAGAGTCCTAGCCTCACTGTTGAGTCATGGGCATGACATCACTCACAGCCTCTGCACACCTGATCAACAGGGCTACTCTGCTCTTCATTATGCTGTTTTGTACAAGGATCTTGCAATGGTGAAGAAACTTATCATGTATGCAGGTAATTGAGTTATAATTTGCCTATTCAATAGTATTTGTGGGAAAATTGAGCTGAAAATAGTAGAGGGAGAACTTGAAGTCTCACATGATTCTGAAGCCCAAGTAGAAAATGTATCCAGCCTGTACAAAACGTTGGCTCTGATGGCATGCCAAGTACACTTGAGTAGCTTGTGGGCAACTCATTGATGATGTCTTGGGGTTCTTTTATTTCTTCATTAGGTTGTCTATTTATTTTTTGTCACTAATAGGATGACCAATGCTTTGGTTGGAATTCTCAATTCCAATAAGAGAATATACTTTCCTATTGTACAGCTGCTTACCTTTATTCTCTGTAGTTGGTGGTTGATGATGTTAACCTCCCTTTGAAATTGGTTATGCCGCTTATAACTACTTGAGATCAAATTTAGAAAATTCTGCTTCACTCGTGAATTATTTTCTAGTAATATTAAAGCTGCTAGTAACCCATATTGAATTATTCATTGTGTACCATATTAAACATATGAATGTCAGTGCTACCCTTATGGAGAAGAATTTTTAAGTTAATTATTTCAAGTCCAATTTACTAAAAATTGAACTTGTCAATTTAAATTTATCCATCTAATTTTGACTTGCTTTGCTACTTTATTGTTTTAGATTTTGCAGCTGTTCTTTAGAGATTCTATTTCTGTACTAAACCGTCTGGACGATATTCTTCAACATACTTAGCTCCTTGGGATACTAATTGAGTTTTTTCATTCTGGTAATGTTGTTCCTGACCATGCCACCGCTGAGCTCTTAGTAGTGGCTTAGTGCTTTCTCAACCGAGTGCAAGTTACAGATGTGGAGGTCAAGCTGTTTGCATGTGACAGTTCCTTGCACTTCCTTTCAATGTCTTTCTTGGGTTAGAGATTTATGTACATGTTGGGGTATCACCCAATGCATTAAATGTTAACAGCATAAAACTACCCCTTGTAGAGGTGGAGTTCTGTTCCTGGTCCATTCCTTTTTGGTTAGGCAATTCTTAGAAATTCTAATGCTTATATTCACTGCTCATTGAATTCGGATATTGATATTGAAAAGTAATTTGTTTTATTTTGTTGTTGGAAGTTATTATTGTTTGATGTTCATTGCAGATAAAAGGTGCATAAACTTGGAGAGCCATGATCGATCCACTGCTCTGCTGCTTCTCTGTAAAAACAGCTCAGCCTCGGACCTGGAGGTGATTAGGGCAGGTCTTGGAATGTTTCATATGCTATTCAGCCTAACTACAACTGAACATGAAACAGACCAAACTCTGAAGATTTTCATGTGCATGATCATGATTATGAGAATTAAGAATATGCTGAATTTTATAACAACTTTGTTTTGATACAGTCTGAATAGAAATATTCACACATGTAGGGTACTAGTCAGGTCACTACAGCTTCTCAACGATGTCCGAAACATTGTCTAAAACTGCTTATTTTTCTTTACTCCTAATTCTGCTCTTAAGTTGCTGAATTTTATTTCTCTGTATAAGAACAGTTGTTTCTTATCGTTCTGTCCTGATACTTCATCTTAAATTCACTCCACTAAATTTGTACCTATTTGTTCAGGAAGAAATATTGGCGAGCCTTCTACATGCTGGGGCAAATCCCAACCTGCCTAAAAATGATCCATTTTCCCTGCCCTTATTGTGCGGTATGTCACATTAATAATTGCTCTAGCTTTAGTTAGGAATGCATTTAAGGAGTTTTTATCAATATAGGTATTATATGCAATCTATACCTACCTATAAGAAATTCTTGATTATTATATCACTTTGAGAACCGTACTAATTGCTGCCTAATTTTCAGATTAATTAGAACAAAATTAGGTAGATGAGTCGCATCTTGAAGACGCAACTTATTTCTATTGCATGAACAGCGCTTATAACTTTTTGGAAAAATCATTCAATTATGCTTGGCTTGTGCCCCTTTTTAAGGACACGGAAGAATTAGAGCAGAACTTTGCGCTCGACAGTGAAAACAGCACATTATTGGATGCCAATTTTGCAGCCTTGGAGAGGCGCTGGTGGCGAGGAGCTGAGCTATTGCTGGACGCAGGGGCGGACGCCAGAGCGACGGATTTTGAGCACAATGAGCTTCCAGCCACATTCTTTGCCCGGGTGCGCGCAGCTTTTGATTCAGTGAAATATATACGTCCGGATTTGCGGCTGCACAATAAACTGTTCACAATTATAATAATTTTAGTGCACTCATGTATAAGGATGAATAATGTTTCATTCCATGTTGTAGATTTTGTAATGTTATGTTGCTACTTACTTCCCTGTTTGTGTTTGATCTTTCACAGAACGCAACGGTCATTATTCCTGTATCAAATTCTCAAGTAATTGCCTATATTTCTTTCTTTATGGGGATCTGTGGGGTAAGTGCCAGTCATTACCCACACAGTAAACCAACAGGATTGTAAATGAAAGAGACTGAAACTGAGATTTTACTGCAAGGCAAATTAACAACAAGGTAGGCTTTGAATATAAGTATCAAGATGGAAAAATAGTGTAAAGAATAATACCCTTGGCAACGTGCGTATCTGTTGAAAAGTATATCTAATAAATAATCGTCGTTGAAGATAAATAAAGAAATAATAATACAATATAACAATTATTCAGACAGTGAAAAGGAACATATTATAGCTTAAACTAACCTGCAGCGGGGATCAGCCGAACAATAATGACTAACGAGAAAATTCTGTGCGTGACGTTAACTTCCTACCGGTGTTGCCAAGGTAAAGGTGAATTATTGTTTTATTACAAAATAAAAGTCGCAAAATGGCTAACACTACAGATCTCCTTAAAATCGGTTTGCCTCTGATTTATATTTGTGATTTTAATTCAGATACTACGGAAGCAATGTCAACTTTTTCGTGAGCTTAGTTGAGCTTAAGCATTTTATCTGGAATATATTTGTTATTTCAGGATAATTTTGAAATACTGGGGAACCTTTTGAGTAGAGGATGTGACTGCCCTGACCTCAATGATTGGATAACTAATAGAAGTCTAACAGATGCCCAGTTGAAGACCATATTGCCGTACACATTGTCTCACCCTGGGATTAATAAGTAAGTAGTATAGCTGTGTAAGATGTAAGAAAACCAGCTTATGTGAATATTTTGAATTACTCGATAACTCAAGTATTTGGATTAGCAAGAAATAAGTCCATATTCCGAATGAAATAAATTCTTCATTAATCAAATGCGATGTTAGATTCAATTTTCCATAACTGGTTCTATTTCTGTTACATAGGCTGCAGCTTCTGCTGGATGCTGTTGCTGTATCGTACTACGAGAGCGCTAAGTACATTCTGGAGCATCATGTGTTTGAAGAGATGCATCAATTTGCGCACATATTCAACTTTATCTTTGCAATTAAGAATGGAATCAACTGGGCAGACAAAAACAAGTAAGAGTTCTTGAATAGATCCTGCATCTATTCAATGCAAAGTTTCTTTTGTGGCATTTTCTGAGTTTGCATAAAGACAATTAATTCTAATGGGAAATTCTGTGAATTAAAGTGAAATTCTGTGTAAATTAATTCTAAATTAATTCTAATTTCGAAATAATTCATAAAAACTCGTTTCTTTTAAGGCGTGGTATTTCCTTGATAGTTAAAACGACAATGAAAGACTCAATCATGCTTGAAATTTCTACAAATGCTGATATTTGAGTGAAAAATCTAAATTTGTCATCAGGTACCTAATGGAAGTTGATTTCTGGCAAAATATTCTTGAAGCTTTACTGATCCAGCGGTTGTGATCTGAAAAGGATTAAACTTCTAATCCGCTTCATCATTGATTAATTTATGTGTCCAAACAAAAGTATTTTTCTCTCCAGGTATATAACTGCCATAACGAAGAACATCTTCATGAGTGAATTGAACAAGAACGACCTGTTCATGTTGCTTTTGCTGACATGCGCCAGGTCAGTTCCTGTAAAAGTTACCCCTAATTATTCAACGGTAAATTATATGATGAAATTCATTGCGGTTAAATGTCTTTCTTACCATTATTGTTGATTTCAACTGAAATAATTTTGGAGCTAGTTACTCGTCTTTTACTTCGTCCTATAGATTGTTGAAGCAGGTGCAAGCTGAAAGGATTGTTGAATTTATCTTGCCCTTAGGTCCTGCCCGATGTATGAAGACGGAGAAGAGTGTTGCGGTTCATGCGACGTCAATGTCGAACAAATCTGGATCAATATAGAACATATTCTTAGTCTAGCCGAGCACAATGGTCTGCCCATCAAAAAGTGGAAGCTAAGCTTGAAACAGCTTCGATGGGCCTTTTTGATGCACTATTTTATATTACCATGGTAAGTTCTCAACTGTGGTTAGTAAGTAAGCAGGTTAATTTGCTGGCATTAGCATGATAGCATTATCTGCAAATATTTATTAATTGGATCTCTAGCTGTCAACTATTATAAAAATTAGCACTTGAAAATTTGCTCAATAGATCTACTTGTAGATTAGGTTTAAGTACTGAAAAATAAGGAAATTAATTGAAAACAAGAGCCAAATATAATAGAAGATTCAAATAAATACAAATTAGTTTTAAATTTGATGCATGTCAATATTTTCTTTAGACAATTTACGTACTTTGACTGCTACTCCCAAAGTATACTGTTTAGCTGGGATGCCACTCGTTCAAACTTGAATAATTTTAGTAAAAGACATGTCAGCGAGACGGTAGATGATGCGCCGTTTTTGTCTCGGTGAGTGTACTCCGTTCTTGTCTCGGTAAGTGTACTCCGTTCTTGTCTCGGTGAGTGTACTCCGTTCTTATCTCGGTTAGTGTACTCCGTTCTTGTCTCGGTGAGTGTACGCCGTTCTTATCTCGGTGAGTGTACTCCGTTCTTGTCTCGGTGAGTGTACTCCGTTCTTGTCTTTTCTTGTCTCGGTGAGTGTACTGCATCCTTGTCTCGGTGAGTGTACTCCGTTCTTTTCTCGGTGAGTGTACTCCGTTCTTGTCTCGGTGAGTGTACTGCATTCTTGTCTCGGTGAGAGTACCCATACTTGTCTCTGTGAGTGTACGCCGTTCTTGTCTCGGTGAGTGTACGAGATTCAGAAAATATCGTGAGCTTCTATTGGTACACGTCGCCTGGAACGGTAACTGATATCTTTCTGGGCATCGTACACGGTACATCTGTAAGTGGTACACGGTATTTATTATATGACTGCTATTAAAATATGCAACGCATAATGTTGACCTTGAAATAACATAGTTTTCTGAGCAAATAGAACAGAAATGTTAGTGCGATACTCAAGCTACAAATAATTTTGGAATATAATGCTGATAAATAATAATTTTATAAATCTTATCAGATGTCTTACAATACTGCACCGAGACGGCGCATGAAGTGGTACCGACAACTGTTCAAGCTGTTGGCAAAAACTGCTGTTGTAAATGAAGGGAGCTATACGATCAGTTCTATATTCAACAAAAATATATTCAATCTATCTATAGATGCAAAAATATAAATTATAAGTTGCATCGACTTGTAGGAGATAGTTGTGGAAAGCAGATGCATGTTAGTGGCCAGTACTGCCCAATACCCCCGTCACCTTCCCGTGAAGTTAGGTGCCTAGAGCCATAGGCGCCGCAAGTCCGCAGGCACTGCCCCTGCCTGTACATTCTTCATGGATGCTACACTCCAGCATGCACCTACCGCCACACTTACCCCGACTCTCCAGTCTCCACTCAAACAAACGTAACCGGACCTAACATGACCTCATTGGCTGCAAAAAGGTGGAGCTTTGGCTTAAGTTTGCTGGTAGTTATTTGCTGGGATGTAGCTTCCATGATGACTACATAGACTGGAGAAGTGGCTGTGGACTTACGGCGCTATTGCTTCAAGCATTTTCGGAATTGGCGTGGAATGCGTTTTTTTCGTTATCGGTGACTTCGTAGCTTTGAGGCTGAGTTTAGCTGCGCATGTTTAGGCTGGGCGTTGGCATCAGGGCTAGTTTAAGAGTCAAATTTGTGGGCAATAGCCAGCTGCTCACACTTGAATAGTTGTATTTTTCTCTTTCGATTGTACTATTAAGGAATGAACAACAGAAAGTAGAACTGTTCTGTAAATCCAAGAGAACTTGTTCACAATCTTTGCCACATATTTATTCCAGCCGTTCTCGTCGGATGATCACCTGAATCGTTTGAAAGTCGTAAATCTTATGATTCTAATGATACGTCTGTAAGGATTCGAATATTACTTGAGGTCTTGTCTTTCGGGGAGACGCCCAATATTGAAAGAAGTTCGATATTCTAGAAATCTCGTTGTGCTACTTATTATCTATGTATTCCTTAATATTTAAACATACTGGGCAGTGATATCACGGAAATAGAGCTTAACATCCTCAACGTTGTCCTGTTCCGGACAACTTTATGTTTGCTTCCCCTCGTCTTGAAGCTCCTGCCACTGATGAAACAGAAAGGTGAGTGTTGTATTTGGGAGGGAGCATGTGCTTGATTTTCACTGCTTCAATTTTCAGGCGTACACAGGGTTCGTACCGGTCATGGGAAACCTGGAAAGTCATGGAATTTGATTTTTTATTTTCCAGGCCTGGAAAGGCATTGGATTTTATTTCAGGTTATGGAAAGTCATGGAATTTGCAAATAAAAGAAGAAAAAAATGAAGCGTTTTCCTGTGTTGCGTGTGTTAAACTGTTTGTGCAGTCTCTTGTTTCCTGCGTTCTGATTGGGAACCAATCACGTGAGCTCGGTCACCTAGCTCAGTTGCATTGGACAACTTTTTGATCTGCAGTGACAGCGTTCCATCTTCAGCGTGCAATTTCTACATCACCATGCCTGGAAAGTGTAAATTTCATGACTTGTGGTTAAGAATAGACGCTTATCGTGACTGACTTGCTCACCATCCAAAGAATGAAGGTATGGCGATATCATTTACATTGTGCTCGAAAGACTTCGATGTGTCAAATATGGGGAAGCAGCTTTGAAGAGCCGTGCCACCTTTGAAGAGCTATGAAGAGCTATGCATTTACACGTTTGATATTTATTATCTGTAGGAGATGATGGAATATGCACGGTTATCTTTTAGTCATGCTAAACCTGACGTATACAAGTCTTGGAAAATTATATTGATGGTCATGGAGAGTCATGGAAAAGTCACGGAATTGTTTTCAAAAATACCAGTACAAACCCTGCGTACACGGTCTTTTGGCAGAGAATAAATAATGAATATCATCGGCTGATATGAAACAGGACTAAATATAATGTATGATGTCAACATTATTCTCGAGAAGAATTTAAAAGCAAAGGAAACGTCAAGTAAATTCACCATATGTTCATGAAAACGTTTGAGAGACCAGCATCAGAAGGTAAAGAAAAACTTGAAGAATACTCCTACAATTAACAGTGAAAGTCCAAGTATACACGAAAAAGATCAAAACATTAGTGACGAGACATCGACAAAGCGACATAAAAACCTAACGATTTACATATTCAAGGGTATAGGAACTGTACGCGTTGTTGAGTCAAGGCGCTTCTGCTGCAGAAAAATTGACATCCAGATTTCGTGAATATTGATTTGCATGTTTTGCTGGTAAATGATTTAAAAATTGGTTCCGTCTTCAGATATCAGGACGTTGTTCCTGCCCAGATGCTGTCTAACCTGGTATATTAATAAAGATGTGTGCTCTGCGCATCAGCATACGTCGGAATGACGTCGTCTACACATGTGTTTCTGAGCATCGCGGTAGGGGCTTTCGTTCGAACATGTTATTTTCTAGGCCTTTTCACTTGGTTGTGCGCTTTTATGCCGAACAGTGCGACGTGACTGTGATATAGCGATTTCAAGATATTTGGAGCCACTTGTGGCAGATCCAAAGATCTAAGAATCGTCGCATATTTCTAAAAGTAATCCTTGTCTTAATAACGCGTATGGTTCTTATTTCTTTGATATTGTTATTCGATAAGTTTTTTGTCGTTTTCTCGTCACTTAGGTCTTTTTTTGTGGATATTTGGATTTTTGCTGCTGTTTTTACTTATATTCTCTAAAGTTTTATTTTTTGAACTGCTGATGAAGCTGGTTTCCGAAATGTTTTCAGGAATATTGGTTGAATTTACTTGGCGATTACTCGTGGTGAACTTATTATTTTAGCTGACATGATATGAGTACTTGTATGCTCATAAAAACTCTCGAAACACTTGCGTATTGACACTTTCCAGGTTTCCGGCTGACAGTATCATCGGCGGTGGCATTCTTATCTAGTCCATGCCTTCAAAAAATTTCCCAAAGCCTTCAAAAAACTGACGTTGATATCCAAGCTATTGTGCGCCCGCCGGAGTCACCGTATCGAATCCTGTTAGAGCTGACCAGGAACTGCTGTGAAGAGGGACAGTGCTGGTTCAGGTGGGTTCGTTTAGATGAAAGTATCTGCATTGCAATATATCATTCGATGCAAGGTAGCTTCACAGCTGATACATATGTAAAAGTCTACAATACCACCAAACACATCATACCTACTCTTCACATTGGTGTTTTGGCCTCATGCTCCGAGCGTCATCGCATTTTCATTTGTGTGCCTCAGGTCGCCCATGATGACGGAATTGTGTAGGAGTGCCATTGAAACAGGACGTAATTTCCTTGTGCTTATGCTGCTCCATCTCGGCGTGCACGAATTATTCCTGAAGCCGGAGTAAGTGTCTCAGCCAATTATTGATTTAAAATTATGGGGCTTGCTGGATTAATATTAAAATAGTCCAATGAGCTAAAAATTTCCATGATGCTTAAAGTTGATTCTTCTGTCTTCTGGAATAGCGAGACAGAAATTACATGGGAGCGTGGTGAAAGTAGGCGGCTCATATTCTCCATTGTTCACCGTTATGCTCCGAGGTGGAAGCTTCGGTCTCCTACGCCTTCTGGGTCTCGTTGCGATGACGCAATGAGACCGCTGAAATATCGCCATCGTCCAGAAAACGTAATTGCACGTTTACATCAAATGGGTACGTTCAAATCAAAGAGGCAGTTTAATTAGGGTTAATGGACCTCCTTCTCAAATTCACTCAAAGAAAGGATTTACTGAAACTTCGGCGTACCAAATTTGTACTTTTAATCGGAGTTCCCCAATTTAGGAGGCTGAATTTTAAATTATTTGTCCCCGTCTTTATCAATTAAGTAGTGCCGTGAGAAGTAATTGATTAACGTGAATAAAAGTTGATCACCTATTACAGTGCTGAGACAGAATACATCTGATGTGTTGGTAGTTGGCGATTAAATAAATGCATATACAGGGTCCGCCATATTTATGTCAATGCATGTTTTTTGTTATTTCTCAATGAAACAAACAGATGCATTGTTTTTTTATTGCATGAGCTAGTAGCCAAGAATTATCTAAACAATTCTCAGACATATTTATTCAATATGACCACCCTTATTTTTAACGACGGCCTCCAATATTCGCGAGAAATCTTCACAGGAGACACGCAACATTTCTTGAGGGATCAAGTCCCATTCACATGTCAATTTAGACTTCAAACTATCCAAAGAATCATGAGGTGTTCTGCAGACCCTACGCTCTAAAGTAGCCCACACAGAAAAGTCGAGAGGATTCAAATCAGGCTTCTTGAGGGCCATTCATTTTTGCTAATGAACGCTGGGATGTGACCCTGAATCCAGTTTTGGGTCATTTTTGAGCCATGTGATGGGGCAGAGTCTTGCTGAAAACTCCTTGGTGAGCCGTTGAAGTGTTTACGGGCCCAAGATATGAACACAGCTTCCAAAATGTCCGAAATATATCGCTGGCTGTTCAATTTCACTCCTGATGGGACAAAAACGAGTGGGGACCTCCCAGTGGCGGTTACCGCTGCCCAAACAATCACGGACATGGGATTTTGACGTCGTGTTGCTGTTCTGGGTGCCACCGATCCATCCCGACTCCAAACTCTGTCATTTTGACGGTTAACGCTTTGTTCAATGTCAAATTTTTTCTCGTCACTGAACACTAAGTTGGGCAGCGTGCCATCCTCAATGAGATCCAGAATGTGCTGGCATCTTTCGAGCCTCATTCGTTCATGACGGTCTGTTAGTCCATGCCTTGTTTGCATCTTGTAAGGGGAAGTTTTGAGGTCATCTTTGAGGACTCTACGCATTGATGTCTGACTGACTCCTGCTTCTGCAGCCAATTTTGCAGCTGAGCGACGAGGGTTTCTCCTCAACTTCTCCCTCGTGTTTTTGACCAATTGTTTTGTTCGGACACTTCGTTTCTTTTCTTGACCAGGTCAATTGCATGTTCCACCAGTTTACTTGAATTTTTTAACACATTCCACACAGTTTCACGACAAATTTGGAGCTTTTTTTTTTTTGCAATGACTGAATTACTCTCGCCCTTTTCACGAAGGGTTATAATTGCATTTCTATCTACTGCCATAAGTAATAGTAAATTTAGACACCTTAGACTTCTGCAATACAAAATAGTTGAATTAATAGATGATATTAAGCTTCATTATAAAAGAAAAGTCTCCTAGAAACCAATTTATTTTTATAGAGCAAACATCCGCTGCCATAAATATGGCGGACCCTGTACTTACTTGCATATATATAATTATGAATGAACTTATGTGGAATCAGCAAAGACAAACGTTCTATTCGTAAAAGCTTTACAATTATTTGATATTGGTCTATTAGCTTAGCATTAATGAACATTGAATATTGTTGGTGTGTAGCGCCGCTGCGGTCGCTGAAGGAGCTGTGTCGCCTCTCCATCCGCGCCTGCCTCGGCCACTGCAGGATTGAAGAGAAGACGGAAGGCTTGCGAGACGTGTTGCCAGCTCCTCTTAGAGAATACCTTTACTTCCGCCACGACTTCCCCATCTTCCCGAGGATTACTCAACTTCCCATGGAATTTGAGGAAGACGAGGAATTTGAGGAAGACGAGGAATTTGAGGACGACGAGGAATATGAGGAAGACGATGAATATGAGGAAGACGAGGAATTTGAGGAATATGAGTAACCGTTGATACGGTGACTCGTCTTGCCTGGGACCGTTGATACAGTGAATCGTTTTGCCTGGCATGGTTCATACGATGTTTTTTTTTCTCCTGGGACTGTTGATACGGTGGTTCTTCTACCCTGCCATCGTTGATACGGTGCATTTCAAGTGGTGATGATTCACGGATGTAGCATTGAACCCAAATTTCTTCACTAAACGTATCAAAATTTTAATTTGACTCATTATTGAAGATTCAGGTGAATGAAACAAAACGGAGTCCTATCTATCGTCAGCGAAACCCCAAAGAGACAATAAAGATAACATTCCCATATCACAAGAGTATTTGCTTTGGTATCTTTAATAGGAATTTTTCGATTTTAGTTACTTCGACGACACAAATTTTTCATTAAAACTACGGAAGATGTTTTGTAGGGCTACGTCGACGGCTACGCTGATGCGAGATTATTTTGGTGACAATAGTGGGACAGAGGAGGACGTCCAGGGATTGTGCTCAAAGACATGTTAAGGATTCCTTGTCAGACGGATGTGTGACTTAGACTTGTTCTTGTGGTGAATAAAGAATATTGACACCAAGTGATTTATTTTCCTATATTGTATCAAGGCTTCCATTTCAAATATTTTTTACGTTCTTTTCCTTGTGATTAGAAGGAAAACAGCACAACAAATTTATCATCTGTGGGTGATTCCGCATTTTTTTTCTCGTCCAAGTTTAAATTTTTCTTATCTCAGCTAATCGCGCAACTTTCGTTCAATAATGTCACATTTTTGATGGCATTTCTGTTGCATTAATCATATAGATACCAATAAAATCTACGACGGAAAATGTATTCTTAGACAGAGCGTGATATTTAATGCCACGTTTAACCACAAGCTCTGTAAATCCAGACCCAACCTTTCTTTATCCTGACATTCCTTAATTGCTTACCATACTGAATACCTACTTATGAATACTATCGCTAGGCTGTTAGCTCGGTTTAATAGGCTAAAAACGAAGTTTAATAAGAAAACGGTGATTTCAGTCTTTCCGGTGATCCTTAATGAAAATTTTTTTAATTATTGTTACTGTGACTAGATTACTAAAATTGATGTAGTGGGTTGCGGGTTCGATCCCAGCTTGCTAAGACAGTCCTAGTCAAAATAGGCAAGGTGGTCGTGTGGGTCAGAAAAGCTAGATTTGAGCAATGAGTTTCGGGTCCAAAGCCCAGCAAGCTGCTAGAATTCTGCGATGTCAAGAATTGGCGTAAGGCTACATTTAGCCTAATGAACGCCGTCACTATTACTTGTAAATTCTCAGCATTGTCACTGCAAGGGTATCGATGAGGCTGAACGGCATCAATCGAATTGGTGGGTAATAATTGACGAGTTAAACAGTAATTTTTATTGCATATGAACTGATAGACAAAAATGAATACTTAATACTCAACACGTTGACTACGAAGAGGTACATATGCGTACCACGAAATGTATTTCTCCAGGACGTAGTGGTACATAATGCAGGTTGCCTAAAATTGGCCAAATCCGAGAACAAAAAAGGCCGATAACTCAATATATACTAGTTTATATGTAGGTTCCACTATAAAAATTTCATTCATTTTTTTGCAGTATTTAAAATTTAATTAGGAAGTAACCCTATCATAAATTTTTGCTGGCCAACGCAATTGAGAAAAACTAAATCACGGAATTTATCCGGAAAAAATGACCGTCTGGCAACCCTGTTTAAAAACAGTAAAAAAATGAAATAATAGTACAAGATGTGGCAATCGTAGTCAACGTGTTAAAGCAATGTCGAAGATATTGGAGGAGTATAGATAGCCAACGGTAGAGTTACAGACGATGGACGGTTGAGTTACAGACGAGTGAAAGCAGAGTTACAGACGACTGACGGTAGAGTTACAGACGTCTGATGGTGGAGTTACAGACGACTGACAGTAGAGTTACAGACTGACAGTAGAGTTACGGACAACTGACGTAGAGTTACAGACGACTGTCGGTAGAGTTAAAGACGACTGTCGGTAGAGTTAAAGACGACTGTCGGTAGAGTTACAGACGACTGACAGTAGAGTTACAGACGACTGACTATAGAAGCACAGACGACTGACGGTCACATAGGCCTATTGATAACGCTGCTGGGGTAGTCTTGCCCTTAACTCGAGTGTACCAGATAGTCTCCTCAACCGGAACTGGAATAGACACAAGAGAGATCAGCATGACCCCTTAAATGTTTCAATGGTACAGAACATAACGATCACAGGTCTTACTAGTGGAGATTATTCATCAAGGGGCACATTAAGCACAGGGCACAAGGGCACATTACTAACCTATGGCGCTTGCGGCCAGAGCAAGAATGGCTGATGGCCGGCTAATGAACTCAAATTATGACGCCGAGTAAGTATTACCCTAGGGTTAACTAGGAATGGCTTGATCCTTACAATCACCTCCGTGTTTTATTTGAAGTCATTATAGTTATCCATTCCATTTAGGGCCGTCGATCCCCGTGAAGGACTTGCTCTCTCCCAGGGTCCCACACCAGGCACGCCCTCTGGTGCCTCGCCATGTTGGCGGCCGACAG